GGGGAGTGAAAACTTATTATACTCGATTACTTTGCACGTTTCGAAGAATAATGTTTGCGGTGACACTTACGAAATTGATATTTTATAACGTTTAAATTTAAAACTACTTTACTCACAGAAAGTGGAAAAAAACACTTTTTTTAGTAGATTTTTTGTTAATTTACTAATATTTCCTATACCCGTTCCTACTAAGCTCCAGGTTTGTGCTAAGATATGGTTCACTATAGTCGAATGGCGGGATTCGAATCCTCGACCGCAAGATCGGTAGTCCGTACCCCAAACCATTAGGCTATTGTGATATTGTACATTAATGAATTAGGCCAATTCTCGTTTATATCCAACCCATTAATGTAATAGAGATGTAACAACCAATATAACTGTGCCCCATAGCCATACTACAATACTAGACAGGACAAAATATCCGTAAACAATACCGCTCGTAAGTCTGTCAATGTTCTATACCCGCGGGGCGCCATCTTGCGGCGACGGCGCACCTAATGGAAACCTATTGCCCATTTGTTCTTGTAGCCTAGTTTATAGCAGCCTTTATTTTATAAACAATTCTTGTTTAATTTAAAAAATGATTTAGAGAACTGTAGTTTAAATGTGTAATTCAACAATTTAAAACACTGCTGCATAATAAATTCATACAAGACATTTTTCTAAAAATAAATGCTAACAATATCACGAGAACTTAACACAATGAATGTTGCACTTATAATTCTTAACCCACACTCCTACCTTCAGGTCTGTCGTACCGACATCGGAATTCCTTGTTCAGTGTCTGTACTAAATATTAACATTTAACGTGTCGGAGGAGATCGTGTAGTGAGAACAAAGTCTTACCCTCCGGCCTCACTCCCCGTCAATAGGTTACGTGCAGGGACGGACAATGAACGGAACTAGGTTGCATCTCACTTACAGGCACAATTGTTGAAACAATAAAATTGCAAGTACCTAGTGTACTGAGGTATGCAGTTGGTACAGTTTGTAATACACGGCTTAATTATATACTTACCTGTGAAATGTTAGTATAGCTAAAATGAATCCACCTTGCTTCCTTAATGTAGCTACCAACAGTAGTTTATGATCCCTTTCCAACATAAAGGTGTTATCCAATTTATTCACCCCCTAAGTTTAATAACGTGAAAATACATAGACTAAAGAGTGTCATTAGTGTAGGGTTTTTTATTAAAGAAAGAATTATTCAAAATTATACTGTGATTGCAGACATCCTACGCCACGAAGTAGTGAGTGTTTACGGTTTGTTATATTAGTATATATTAGTTCTAATTTGAACGATTGTACGAAGTTTGACTCGTCTCGTCTCGTACGATCTTCTGATTTGATTGGCGTATATTCCTGCCCTAACTTCAACATGGTACATAACTTATGTAATACCTTTGTCACTAAAGTTAGAAGTAAGTTATACTATTACTTTCACTACGGCACGGTTGGGCGTAGTGACAGAGTGTTGTTGAGGCGGGGCACGTCCGGTGAACTCGACGCGACCACTCTACAAAGTTCACGGTAATTCATTTACATTCCCGCGTGCACGGTCGCTTGATTGACTCACATTTGAGACATCGACAAATTGTCACCTTGATTACATGTTTCGGAATATTAACAATGACAGTAACAAAAGCTAAGTTTTCCCATATTCCCGATGTATCTACATTTTAAAGTTCTAGGACCTATAATGCGTCCTACATTAAACAACATCATTTGGACTCCAGTCTGGTACTAGACCCACTAATAAATGATGACAAAGGAGGTTTCTTTCAGCACGTTCCAAACCTCTGCGGTCATCAGATAAGGCTCGTGCCACAACAGAGCGCACTTAAGTGAAGACACTAAATAGAGACCAAGCTATTACTTTAGTGGATTGCCTTTGGTTTATCAACACAATTTTTGCACGTCCATCATTCCGTGGTTACCAAGGAGAATTTGAAATGCGGCGACATAATGAAGTTAAAAAATGCTAAAAATAAAGTATTTTTAATGTTCTTCCTTTTTATAAAATTCTAGCTTAAAATGATATTTGACGAAAATGTATATAGTTCAATATTAAATGGATTGTTTTTTCTTTGCAGGAGTTCGCAACTCTTACGAAGGAACTGAACCAGGCTCGAGAGCAGCTGCTGGAGAGAGAAGAAGAAATCTCCGAGCTCAAGGCGGAGAGGAATAATACCAGGGTAAGAACACATCCAACCCACAGTTTTATAAGCTCCTGTTGGTAGGAGACGTAATAAAAGGACTTAAAAAACTATTTGGAGAGATCAAATTAGCACTCGAGATGATGTGTAGGTCCTTACTCCCTGCCTACCATTCTGTGTTATAGCGTGAGTGTAATGATAATTCTGTAACTCAGCTATCAGAGGTAACAGGGTATACTTGGACCAAAACAGTGAATAGAAAATTACCCTCGTAGTCCATGAATTGTGAATTCAAAGTCGTAAACTGAGAATTGAAGCCACGACCTCCTTCTAAATAATTTTCAATGACCTTCTGACCATAGTCTGACAATTCGAGATTAAAACTTTGAGTGTAGTGAATAAATGTGTGCAAGAAAAGAATTAAATTCGTTTCACTTTCGACTGAATATCGTACCGGGAATTGTGATTATAAAATTTTATTAAACACTTACTTATTATGACAAACATTGTGTACAGTCAGCTACATAAATATGTACACATTTACAAGACTTTAGAAACTTGTATACACTTTTGGTTTAAAAAATATGCAGCACTAGCTCTTCCCGCGACTCCATCCGCTCGGCATTTAAAATAATACAAAAGCAAGTAGGATAGTCTTCCAGACTATCCTCTACATTTATGAAAAATTTCATCTAGATCCCTTCAGCTGTTTAGGCTACAAAGTCTTACAAACATCCATCCATCTAAACTTTCGTATTTGTAATATAAGTAAGAAGTAAAATTAGTAAGATATATTCGCACGTAGACATCCATGAACCATAAATTATGACAAATACGTGCATACATTTTTTGAAACCGAAAGCGTATACAAGTTTTGTATACGTATAAATAGTTGTGCTGACTGTACTGTATATTTAGTCCTTGGGTGAACATTTTCTATTAAATTTTCTCATTTCACCTGCTTTTACAGAAATAGTTGAAATATTCTGAGCTCGGTAATGTTTTATTTCGAATGTTTCCTAAACGTTTCTTGCAATTTAATCTAAGTTTGTCTCGCGTCTTAATGCAGCCGTAGTCGACAATCTGGCGTGCTGCATTACGACTGAACATTGTCGTGTGGTGAGAGCGTTACAAACATTTGGTTTCCGGGAACCTCTTAACGTTCACGACGATTTTACTCCAAATATGCACAGTATTTATACTGCTCTTATATCTTTAAAAAATATACCAAATTCCACTAGAAACTACAAACTAATGGAAACAAGATTAAATTGTTTGACATATTTTGAAGGCTTCTTAATTTCTTAATTGATTTTTGAGTTGATTTCAGTGTAATATAACTTGTGTAGTGTAAACGTTCCACAGAAGCTTTTTTTAAAAAAAACTAAATACGTCAAAAAACTTCAATATATGCGAGTTGTCAAGGTCTCAAGTTTCGAGGTCCCGTCGTTCCAATATTAAGTGCTTGAAAAACAAACAATTTAGCAAAGCGGGCCACCGTGCCTCGCAATAAAACTTTATTTATAAGACCTGTAGGCCTCGTCGTGAACTTTTATTTCACCTTCCAAATTTACGGCACATATTTCGACGTAATTTTCAGTTTTCAAAGTAAAATGGCTCGTTGTATCACGCCGTCGCTTTTAGTATTACAAGTTTTAAGTATTTCCAAATTTCAATCTCATAATTTCACCAACAAAGACAAATGAAGAACTCCTGCTAGGTAGGTATTACAAATTATAACTAATGTTTTATGAAAAAAATATTAAATACTAGCTGTTGCTCGCGACTTTCTCCGCCTGAAGTTAATAATAAATATAAATAATTTAATGGTGAAAGAATTTTTTAAAATTGGTTCAGCAGTTTTTAAATAATTTCAATACATAAAAATACCAAAAGACAAAACTTTTCTCTTTATAATATTAGGGGCATTTCGGAATTGACACCTCTTTCAGTTTTATGTACAATTCTTACCCTTATTTGAAGTAACATACAGGTGTGTTTTAAATACGATGTTTTTATGTTTCCAGTTACTATTGGAGCATTTAGAATGTCTTGTGTCGCGACACGAGCGGTCGCTGCGGATGACTGTGGTGAAGCGGCAAGCGGCCGCGCAGTCCGGTGTCTCCTCCGAAGTGGAGGTGCTGAAGGCCCTGAAAAGTCTCTTCGAGCACCACAAGGCTCTCGACGAGAAGGTACACATGTGGTCATGTGACGTCATAACGATTATCAAAATGTAACGCTACTTAGCGTTGAAATTACTTGATAACTGTAATTAAATAGATCTTTTAAGCAGTTTTAACATGACATTGTTATGGAAATTTTATTCGAAATGAGGTAAATAAATTGTTTTACAGGTTCGAGAAAGACTTCGTGTTGCGTTAGAGAGGAATACGGCGTTAGAAGAAGAGTTAGCTTTAACCAAAGAGGAAGTAAGTCGCTTATTGCAAATATTATTACTGATGTATTGGTTCCATTAATGATTGTTTACTCGCACTAAAACGAGACACATACAACAAGCTTAAAGTATATTTTTTCTGATATACACGTATTTTGTAATACTTCATTGTTATGACATTATTTTCTTAGAAAAACACAACGGACATGGAATAACAAAGAACTACGAAATACCCAAGTATACAGGTAAATGTCGCAGTGTTTGTGTACAAATAATAATTCCTATGCTATTGCCATCAGTTGCAACAGTACAAGTCGTCGAGCGCGCAAGAGAATGAGAAGCCGAAAGAGAACGGCAGCGTGGGAGGGTCGCCCGAGCAGAATGGAGAACAGCAACAAAAGGTAAGGGTACTAAAGACAAGGTTATCTAGGTATGTCGGTAGCGACCCGCTGCGGGTATACCCCTCTGGTGGAAGCTTGTTAAATGTGCGATGACCTTAAGTTTAGCACTTTACAAATTAGATTTTAAAATTTTACTAGAAACACTTATAACAACTCATAGATAATGACTTAGATTATTTTGATTATGTTCCCTAGCATAGACATACATTTTATACATGGACGATGTAGTTTTACAATTTTGTAATGTTATGAAAATTCAAATTAACTACGCAAAAACATAACGGATAATTCTAACCTTCGATTCGATTATTGTATCTTTTTTTTGGCATTTTATGTAATTTTTTATAAAGTGGTAAGTTTCAAATCTCGTTTTTACACAATACATTCACACTGTAACAAAACTACTGAACAAATTGGCGTTTTTATTAAGGGGCGTCCTTAAATTACGTGTGGCGTTTTTTTATATTTTGCCCCTCCCTCCCCCCGTGGTGAGATGTCATGAGATTTTATTCAACCCCCTCCCCCATCTGTCAATCTCACGTGAGATTTTTCAAAATGTGAGTTATGTAAACGCGTTGGATTGTTAATAAGATTAAATCTTAAGCATGTACAATCTGGATTATATGGACCAAAATAGTAATTTATTTTTGTTACAATCAGAAAAAAAAATGCGTGATGTTTGCCGAGACCTCTCCTCTCTCTAACGTAAGATTAGATGAGATTTAACTCGACCCCCTCGCCCCTTTAAAAACCTCACGTAATTTATAGACGCCCCCTTATGTTTTATATTTACAAGGGTGACAAAATTTTTATAGTTTTTAACTACTTTAGACGCTTTGTGAATGTTAATTGTGCGAGAATTTATTTAGATTTTTTACACTTATCTGTCGTTCTCTAAATAACAGTTATAAAAGCTATTTATTTAAAGAAAGACAGTTTAAAAAACTCAATGGCGTAAATCTTACTAATATTATAAATGTGAAAGTTTAGATGGATGTTTGTTAGAGTTTGACGCCTAAACGGCTGAACGGATTTCGATAAAATTTGGCATAGATGTAGAGAGTAGTCTGGAAGAACCCATAGGCTATTCAGTTTTGTTTTTTCAAACCAACGCGAACAGAGACGCGGGCGAAAGCTAGTATGAAATAATTATTCAATTTATACTATTAATAAAAAAATAGTTTATTTTGTTCACAAAATTCACATAACTTTTAATATTGTGTTGCGGTTCTTTCTATACCTACATATAAATTTGAAGTATGAAAAACCGCAGCCTGAAAGGTTTAAATTAAACTTTCATAGTTCATTGACTCTTTAAATTGTTTTCAAAATAAGCAAATACATTTAATAATACACTACAGTGTTAAATTATATTATGTTATCTACTCGTAAGTAAGAGACTTATCAATACTATTATAATAAAGCGTAAACACATTTCTTTGTTGCCAAAGATGTCAGCAATTTCAACAAATTTTCGAATAATTATTTTGTTAATAAAACTTACGTCACGCTTTAGGCTTAGGAAGTAAATATTTTGGTTAAAAGCCTAATGTGGGAAAGAGACCTTAAGTTGTTGCCAACATCAAGGAAGCAAGATTGCCAAGGTTTGACATGTCATGTCAGTTTGACACTTGCCATTGATAATTTGACAAATGTAAACAATAAAAATAAAATTCATAATTTCATGCGGATGAAGCCGCACGGGAAAAGCTAGTTTTTTACATACAAATGTTCATCTGTTTGTAATATATTACGCCATGGAGTTTATAAAGAAACATTTATATCTAGTTGGGCATGTTTACTATATTTTTGTGTTTGTTTGTTTCGGTGTGCGCAGGAGCAAAGTAGTGTTAACGGCGAATCGGAAAGCAACAAGAAACTCACTGAGCTACAAAATACGATCGCCAAGCAGGTCAGACCAGAGTCTACCTTATTTGTAACCTAATAAAGCATATATTTAAACGCATCAGATAACCATTACGTATCGTAATAGCAGTTGATTACTATCGCTTATAATCATTGCAATAACACGTTTAAAGCAAAAACTTTCTATGTATCATGTTGTAGGTAAAAAAATATAATATAAAACTATTGCATGTCGCGAAATTTAACTATTATCGTTTAAAAACTATATTAGGTTCAAAAATAAAGCCATGTTATATTTCATGTTGTTATGTCTAAAATCAAAATAATTGCTTGATTTATTAATTCATGAGTTTTTGACATTAAATGATTCAACGAAGATATTCGCCTGATCAAATGCCATAAATGCACCGGTGAATTACACATAGTTTTATATAGAGTCTGAAAGCATTGCTATGTCATGGAATAGATGCTAAATTGACATGAAACGTAATTTAACAAAAAAAAATGTAATATATATAATTGTATATAAAACATACTAATGCTCATATTTTGTGTTAGCTTGCATGATTTATTCACCTCTATTTTACATTATCATATATCTTACATTTAACATAACGTGTGTACATTTTCATAAAAAAAACATACTAACTACACAACGTGGTAATTACATCAAAAACCAAAAATATGTCCTTCGTTGTAAATGTATTAAATGACATATCACCCACACAAATATTGTATATTTCATTTTTTCTTTAACGCATTCAATGACACCGATTTTATGTAACAAAAAAGATAGTGGCATTTAACGTGTTAAATAATGCGACCAATAATTGTTGATCCCCAGTCAGCAGAGCTGAGCTCGTGGCAGCGGCGCGTGGCAGAGCTCAACAACAAGGTGACGGAGCTGGAGGAGAGGCTCTCCAAGGGGGAGAAGGAACTCACCAAGAAACAGGAAGAGTGCGCCAAATTACAGCGAGACTTGAGAGAGAATGTCGCTCAGAAGGAAGACCAGGTATACTTCTATTCCGTAAACGTGTAGAGTACTTAAAATAGGAAGCCTAAAAACTTTGTTTCCTTATAAAAATCAACTTGAATGTACTTGAAGTTAATAAAAGTAAGTGAAATAGTTGATTTTAGATTACTTTTTATCATTAAAATAAGGTGTTACGTTAATTTATTATAATAATATTGGTCCTTCGAGCACGATTATGTTAACATGTATTTTAAAAGACTTGGAAAATCCAAAGGCTTATAACTTCAAGGTATTCGTCAATGAGGTAATGTAATTTTGTTTCAGGAGGAGAGGATAGCGACCCTGGAGAAACGGTACCTGAACGCGCAGCGAGAGTCCACCTCCTTGCACGACCTCAATGAGAAGCTGGAACAGGAGCTGCAGCACAAGCAGGCACAGCTCAAGGTATGCTGGCCGGGCTGGTGCACCACACACCTGTCAGATGTCACTAGACATGGCAAGCTTTAACAACTGTCAATCAGAATTGACCACACATAGATTAAATTTAACAAGACAATAGTTTTAGATAATTGGAGAGCAGTTCATGCGATCGATTATTTTCATTTTTAGTCTGTACCAGGAAAATAGAAAAAATCCCTTTATTACAAAAATATATGGAAAATTTTGTAGATGGTAATTCAGATTTAATAAAGCGTGTTGCAGTTTTATTGTGAGGCTTTTGTGATAGGTTTTCTATGTTCCCGGTCAGGCTATAACACCATTTCACCGCCATGACATGTAAATAATTCCCAACAGCTGCAAGAAGAGAAGATCGCGGCGATAGAAGAGAAGCTGGAGCTGTCGACGCAGAAGTTAGCGCAGATGTCCTCGCTGCCGGAGATGGAGGAGCAGCTCAAGGCCAGGATGGAGGCTCTCAACCAGGTATACTCATTGCCATATCTGCTGTTGTATAATCGACTTTATTTTTAACGTGTTAAAGTTCATTTTCCATGTCTCATTTGCTTTATCGTTTGGGGTTTGGTTTAAAACATTAATTGCACTTATTTTTTGTTAAGTTTGTCAATGCTTTAAGTTCTGAAGTCAATCTATGAATAATGTGTTTATTTTGTGAGATTATACATGTGTCAATTGCTTTTGTATTATGTATATTTGTTATAATGGAATTAAAGTTTGCTAATTTCAAGCCCCTTTGGAGACATAATGTCCCAAAATCATGTAATTGTAGTGATAATTAATAATTTTTTTATTCTTTTTGAGTAAAAAATGTGTATTTAAAAATGTACAATCGAGGAATCTGGCCGTGTTCAGTGCCAATTATTTAGGTAAAGAGGCGGAGTTTCTTTGTAGCAAGTAAACGCCCCCTTTTGTGTAGTCACTCCATGGAGCATCCACCGAAGCGATCTAAGAGCTCGGCGGCCTTCCAATCCGGTAATAATAACGAAGTAACGGCCCGAGTCGAGGCTCCTGAGGGAGTCCTCGTGTTTAGCTCATAAACGAAGTTTAGGCTAAGCGCCATCTGCGCTCGCCCACCTCAAGCCCGGTGCCTCTTCAAGGCCAACAGTGGCCATTCAGTCCCAAAAAAAAGTAAACGCAATTTTTCTGTAATTGGAACACCGCGCATTTCCATGACTGTACCATGACGATGTTCAAGCAACCGCTAGTTTATTGTAAAGAAAGCGTATTTAGCAGGATATAGTATGATTTATTGATATATGTGTCGGTCAGGCGCAGGAGCGGCACGGCTCGGCGGAGGACCGCATCCAGCGGCTGGAGGCGAGCGTGGAGGAGAAGAACGCGGAGCTGATGAGGCTGAACCAGCGCCTGCGCATGAACGAGGAGCACAACACGCGCCTCTCCGCCACCGTCGACAAGCTGCTCTCCGAGTCCAACGAGAGGTCATACACTGCTTTATCTATACTATTATTATAAAGAGGAATGATTTGTATTTTTGTATGTATTGAAATAACACAAAAACTACTGAACCGATTTAAAAAATTCTTGAACTATTGAAAAGCTAAGTGATCACTGAGTAATATAGGCTATATTTTTTACTATTTTCTTTAATTTAATGTAAGCAAAGTCGCGATTAATAGCTAGTTATTGATACTTTGAGTACAGTCTTTTAGAGATGTCCACATTAAAGACACTTAAGAAATATGTAGACAGTGAAAGTTATATCAGTAGTCAAGTTATGCCACCTTGTTCTTCAATTGACATGTAAATAAGGTTTTCAAAATTCATAATAAGGTCAATCGTTTGTTATTTTAAAAATGAAATATAATAACATCTCGGCAATTAATTGTATTGACGCGAGGTTTTGAAAATTTGTCAATAATGATGATTATATGAAAAATGTCTCCAATGAAGTATCAACCATATTTAATCTAAAGTTTTTAAAATGTGTTTTTTTTTAATCACGTCGTATACAGGTTACAAGTACACCTGAAGGAGCGCATGCACGCGCTGGATGAGAAGAACGCACTAACCCAGGAGTTGGAGAAGACGCGCAAGTACGCGGACGAGTTGGTCGCGGAGAAGCAGGACATCCTGAAGGAGCTGGCCAAGTGGCGGATGGAGACGGAGCAGGTGGGACTGAGGTTGGTGGGGTGATGTGGCGGTATTGCAGCAGGTAGTGAGGGTTGCGTTGTTGCAGCTGAAGCGGCAGATGCTGCAGCAGGAGATCGCCTTCAACATCCAGCAGACGGATGCCCTGACGCGCTCGCTGTCGCCCGGCGCGCCGCAGACACAGGTGCCCATCTTCCAGCCCAAAGTGAGCTCTAGTAGTATACGTATAACGTTCAAAATCTAACTAACGAGGAATTTAATTGAATGGGGGTTATAGTTTAAAGAAATTGGGATAAAATACTTGTTTTTAACAATATTAAGCACGAAAATCAAATTTCTTATAAAGTTTTTGTGGTGTTGTAGTTACAGAAATATATTCTTGTTCCTTGCAATGAGACAAACTCCGTTTTTTACAAATAACCAATTATGTAGAAGTGTATGTAGAAATGTATTGGTCAAACGACCAAATAATAAAAAAAAAAAACAATTAACCGTTTACTATTTTCGTACAAAAGCATTTAAAAGCGTCCTGGTTATTGTTCTTCAATGTGTAAGGGCTTTGAAAGTGGAACACCGCCAGTTTCCCCGAGTGTACATGTGTTTGACTGCGGTGTGTTGCAGCTGGAGGGCTCGTGGGAGAAGCTGCAGCAGGCGCACGCGCTGGCCGCAGTCGCCGCGCAGCAGTATGACGTCTCCAGCGACGCTGAGGTAACATATCCTGTATTAGTATACTGCTGGTGGACTATTGACACTGGCTTTAAATGGACAGGCTAAACTGTGGTGTATTGTGTCTGTTTAAAAGTGATAACAGCGATGTTCACAAAGAGATACAAATATCGAGTCATAGTTGACACTTCATTTGTGTCATTTTCATAGAGCCTCAGAACCACGTGTCTATAATTTATTGTATTTAAAATAATTGCAAATTTCTGACATTGTTTAGTTTATTTTATAACAAAAGATGGAGCTTATTATAATTTAGTAAAAAGACGTAAGAGGGCACTAAACTTGACAACTAACATAGTCCCTTTCAAAGAAGTTACCGGTGAAAAAATGTTCACTATGTCTAGTCTATATTCCTTCAATGTCTTTGGATAGACATAACAATACTTAACTGTCATTTACGTCAAAAGACGCATTATTTTCGGACTGAAGTAAAAACTGTAATTTCCTATCAATTCTATCTGTTATTTTACATCTATATTGTGTCAGAACGACGAGTCGGAAGGCGGTGTGGAGGGAGGGCATACGGATGCGGCGGCGCTGGCGCTGATGCTGCAGGAGCAGCTGGACGCCATCAACACGGAGATCCGCCTCATCCAGGAGGAGAAGCAGACCACGGAGGCGCGCGCTGAGGAACTCGAATCCAGGGTGAGCAGATACAATGTTTAAAAATCTAGATAAATGAGCTAAAACCAAAAAATACGGAGCTTTGATATCTATTTTGATCTTGAAAAATAATCAGATTGTTATATAGGTAATATTTTGTATACAGTAATGGTTTAATTTGTACAGATGTGAATATGACATGTGATGGGTTATTGGCTGGTGCGAGAACTATCTTGGTTGGGTTACTTAACTATCATCCCCATAAATTATACTTACTCATAATAATTGGTAAAGGGTTCTTTTTTGCATAACTGCTATCATTTTGTTATAAACTACAAGCTTGGAGTTTAAAAAAGCAAGAACACATAGGTTATGTGTTCTTCCAGACTATCCTCTACATCTATACCAAATGTCATCGAAATTCAATTTAGATTACAAACTCATGCAATCATACATCCATCTAAACTTTCGTAGCAAGATATGTATATTTCGCATTCCATAAATGTTTATAACAAATTGATAGTGGTATTCAAAGATATATATAATATTAACTAATAAACTATGAATTGCATTGTTATCAAATTTATTACATTTTGGTATTAAAAAGTTTCTACAAAAATAGAATGAAAACAATGAAATGGTTTAGTAACACTGCAAGGCATAGTGACGCTCTCACGAGCGGTGGCCAATGCTAGCTAGAGGTGGCTAATAGTGACCAGCGGTGGCCAACGGTGGCTAGTGGCCAGTAGTGCCCAATGGTAGCTAGTGGCCAGTGGCCAGTGGTACCTAATGGTAGCTAGTGGCCAGTGGCTAGTAATGGCTAGTTGTGGCCGGTAGTGGCCAGTGGTGGCCAATGGTAAGGTGGGTGGTGGCGCAGGTGGGCAGCTACGAGCATATGAACGTGGTGTCGCGCCGCGGGGACTCCCCGCCGCCCGCAGCCTCCCCCTCGCGACCTCATCACCACAAATACCATACGGTCAGTCCACACAACACATTGCTCTCACAACACTTACAATGTTCACCACATATTTACTATTGCTCTCGACTTCGTCCATGTGGAATTAAAAAATAGTAATAGTAAAACATGTTACTCGCTCAAAATCATATCTTTTTAATGGTGAAAAAAAATTGCAAACGGCCGAGTAGTTTTTAAATCATTTCAACACTTATAAAATTACAAATCTTTCAGATGAAATTTTTCCATCTTAGATGAGATGGAAAAATATCTATATACAAAATTGGATACTTTTTCTAGAAAGAATTTTTTTTTAATTTAAATCTTGTCATGGAAATGAAAGTTTGTAATGTCGGTAGGCGCCTGCGTCTATGTCTCCGGCGCACCATTACCGCGCGCCGCCCTCCTCCGAGAGCCTCCCCTCCAGCCAGGTCAGGCCACGCCCCCAGACACACCCCTTGTCTGTATTCCCCACCCCGCTGACACAAGCTTGTAATTATTGCATTCGACAATTTTTAATATGTCACTGTATGCAGAATTAATAAAGGAAATAATAAAGTTTAATTGTTGACTACGTCTCGTTGGTATTCCTGTTGATAGCATGTTTATTCAAGCGAATGCTTCCCTCCAGTCAAACTCCCATAAAAATGATTTTGCGTGGCTTCTTGTGTGCAATTCAACACTGCTTTTTGTTTTGCCTCTATGGTTAGTTTTGTTTTTAATTTGGATTTTGTGTTTTTTATTCAAGTACTTCCAGCGTTTAATTGATATAAGATGTAATCGTGTAAAATATTAATAACTATGGTCCTGAAGTATTTAACGTTGTTATAAACAATTCTACAAGTTACGCTTATCGCCGCACTGCTTTTTTAAAAAGTAGTTAGGCCGAGCTTATCTGTTTTCTGGTATGGAAATGACAATTAAAATAGTTTTAATATCTATTAGAATGATCTACACTTAATCTTTAACCCGAACCTGTATCACCTTCTTACACTTTTTATTAATAGTAAAGCTTTTTAACTGCATTTTTATTATTGGATTTTTCACTTTTAACACCATTACTAACATCGTGTTACTAAATAAAGGCACATTAGATGAAGTACAAGTGTTTATGAATGTTTAACCGGTGCGCAGTTACAGCTGTGCGAGGAGGGCGGGGTGGGCGGTGTGGGCGGTGTGGGCGGGGCGGAGGGCGGCGCGTCCCCGCTGACGGCGCGCTCGCTGCGGCTGGAGCGTGCGGCGCGCGCGCTGCACGCGGAGCGCGACCGCCTGCGCACGCACTACCCCGCGCCATACGACTCGTGAGTACAACTACACTTTAATGGTCCTTCAAGTCGGATATTTTAACATTTTAACCACTATTTTATATCTGAGTTACACTAAAAGACCCTCCTTTTGACCAAATAATAATAAATTCCAGCGGTTAATGTGTTTTATGCCTGTTAATTATAAAAAATTACATCAATAAATTGTCTTATCTTTGAAATTTTTGTAATTATTAGCTAAATGATTAGCTTATGGTTATCTACCTAGATATTTTTTTATTCTTGTGTCATACATTTTACATCTTTTCCACGCGGCTCAGGACGTCGATAATGTCGGGAAGCCTCGCCCGGATCCCGATACACAGGTGTCCATCAATTTCTAGTTTAAGATTTAACCCTAAGTTGAGATCTAACGTATGGTGTGATTGTCCTGACACTCAGTTCAATTATGTTCCCCACAAATTGTGCCTTAAATCTAAAATGTATCAAATTATTGTGCCATATTTGTTCCATCATCCACTACCGTGGAAGACTGCGAGCTATTTTTAAAAAGAGCATTTTTTAAGTCAATAAAGAGTTTTTAGGCAAACATTTTAATTATAACTGTATGTTGTAAGCCAAAGGTTTTAATTTGGTTTTAATATTATTGAATTTGAGGATTGTTTTATTTTCTATTTGTGTTCCTTAATTTTACGATCTTTTATAAAAAAGGTTATTTTTGGTGCTAATAAAATGTAACAAGTTATAAGAAGCTTAAATTAAATTTATTTTTATTATGTTATTTTGATAGAATTTTGTTTGAATAAAGGAAATGGAATTACTATGTGTAAAGTTGAATTTATTAACGAACCTTCACCAATATCTAATGGGACGGTATGTGATTTTCTAGTTTCTGTGTGTTCTCATCGTGTTTCCATTGATATACTTGTATAGAAACATGCGTTTTCATAGAATCTCTATAAATAATAAAGCTAGTATTCTTCATAGTAATTCCATTTTTATATTACTTTTGCTAATACTATTAGATTTTTTTTTGCCAGGCAGTAATTTTCAGTTTTTACTTTCATATCTTTCTTTACTTTAAAATAAGGTTTTTGCTAAATTCATAGCAATTTATTTTCATTAGTTTGCGATAGACATTTTTGTTCGTTTAAGATGATTCTGTCATTAAACATATTTGTCTGATTGCTAGTAACATAACATTAATTTGTTAGTTATGTTAAATTAAGCAAAAAAACGATATTTTGTGTAACAAAACATCGAATGGTTCTTTGTTAGTCTATTTAGCGTTCAAAGTTTTTGAATTTTCTAACAAATTCTTTATTACTATGCTGTCCTTCTTATTATCATTGAGACAAACAGAGATAGATGTTTTAGCCTCTATCCCATTAAATTATAAATTGTCTCATAATAATGGAAATGTCGGATTTTGTTCCCTTATCTGAGAGACGTCATTTTAAGCTATCTGAGTCTATCAGCCAGTGGTGGGACAGGCCTTTAGTATAGTTAGTTAATATTAGTTGTGTGGGACAGCTCCAGCCAGGAGTCGCTGTCGCTGGGCGGCGGGTGGGGCGGGGCGGGGGCGGGCGCGGCGGGTGCGGGCGGGGCCTCGCCCTCGCTGCCGCGCGCCGCCGCCTCCGCCGCCTCCATCGCCAGCATGCACCAGCAGAAGAAGAGAGGCATCAAGAGCTCCCTCGGCAGGTTCTTCAGCAAGAAGGACAAGGCCGGACTTACGGTAATCTATACTTTTTACTAAAAGATTAGGAATTTTGTATGTATTAAAAGAACTCAAAAAGTATTAGGCCGATTTCAAAAATTCTTGCACTATTAAAAAGCTACTTTGTCTATAAGTAACATAGGCTGTTTTTACTATTTCCTTAACTTCACATAGACAAAGTCGCGAGCAAAATTTAGTTTTTAATATTATAAAAACGAAAGTTTACATGGATGGATTTTTAATAGAGTTTATAGCCTAAACTGCTGAACGGATCTGGATTAAATTTGGCGTAGATGTAGAGGATAATTTGGAAGAACACTCATTCCTGTGTTTATTCTTGTAAATTAAGAACTAATTAAAAATGAGTGTTTTTACATATTATGTTTCAGTTATCACAAGGCAGCAGCCCGCGGTCCCTGTCGTCCGCGTCCTCGCTGGGTCTGTCCGGTCTGGCGGACGAGGGTCTGGAGCAGTCGATGCTGTCGCACCCCCACGCCGCCCACCCCCAGCACCCCCCGCAGCCGCTGCAGCAGGACTACGCGCGCTCCAAGACGAAGTCAGTCATGTACAATAATAACATAGTTTTCATTTTATAGCAAAAACGTGGAAAAATCTTAATCGTAAATCATTTAATTTATACATCTTAACAGTGGTAGTGCCCGCTTTAACATCTTGGCACGAATGGGCCGGCTCGCCCGGTGTAATACCACGACCACA